CCCCCTCTTCTGTCCCGGCGCCCCTCTCTCTCAGCGGCTCCTGTCACTTGGCGCCGGTATCCTAGCCGCCAGCTCCGCGTCGGGCCGCTCCCCAGCTGGTGTCGTCCCACAGGTGTCCCCACGTCTGACCGTCCCTCCGTCCGTCCCTCCTGGGGCCGGCGCTGACCATGCCCAGCGGCTGCCGCTGCCTACATCTCGTGTGCCTGTTGTGCATCCTGGGGGCGCCCGGTCAGCCTGTCCGAGGTGAGCTCGCCCTGGCTGCGGTCGGGGCCCAGTCGAGCAGTCCTCGCGTACACGTTGACCTCTGCCGGCCAGAAGCGGCACTGCAGGCGCTCGGACCCGCGGGGCCAGCGGGACCCAGGTCGCCTTTGGAATGGGACGGGTCTCTGTATTGCCCTGCCCTAGAACTGAGTCCGTCCAGTTATGGGAACCCTGAGTCTCACCCGAGTCCTGCATCCTGGGCAGCCATACCTCGACTCAGACTCACCCTTCCCACGTCAATCTCTTGCAGCCGATGATTGCAGCTCCCACTGCGACCTGGCTCACGGCTGCTGTGCGCCTGACGGCTCCTGCAGGTACCTCTCCAGAGCACGTGGCCCAAACCCTTTGCTCCCTCCTTCCCCGTCCTTCACACTCACAGCCAGGTCAAGTCCCAGAACAGAGTGTCTAGGGGCTCAAGACCTACTGTTCATGCCCCATCTCCTCTGTGGAGGCTGGCCAGCCTCCCCTCGCCATTCTTCTTTGTCTCACCTATCTTGCTTCTTCTAGCTTATATCTCCCCACTTGTTTACTCTCCCAAGTCTGGCCCAGAGATTCAGAAACATTGCTTCTTGAAATCTAGGAGAGGGGGTGAGGGAAAAAAAAATCCAGAATAGGGGCCGGGCTCATCCTGTTATCCCAGCACTTTGGGAGGCCAAGGTGAGTGGATTGCCTGAGTCTGCGGGTTCGAAACCAGCTTGGGCAATTTGGCGAGACCTCGTCTCTACAATAAATCAAATATTAGCCGGGTGTGATAGCGCGCGCATGTAGTTCCGGCTACTTGAAGGGCTGAGGCGGAAGGACGGCCGGGGCCCAGCAAATCGACACTTTGGTGGCCATGAGAATGCCACTGCACTCCAGCCTAGGCGACAGAGTGAGACTCCAACTCAAAAAAAAAAAGATGCAGAAGATCTTCTGAGAGAGTTTGGAAATTGTGCGTCAGGAGGAAAGGAGGAGATAAAGGAAAGAGATAAAAGGAAGAAATAGTTTACCCTGGAAAAGAAAAGAAATGCTCCGGGCAGTGTTGCTGGGGAGAAACGCTTATGATGAAAGAGGATCTTTCTTGATGAATTTGAGTAGTTGACTCACTGAGGTGGAGGTTGGGTGCATTCTCTAGCAGGAAGAAAGTGTCTGGACATAAGGAAATGCACTGACAGGCTAGGTTGCTCAGTTGGCTGGGGCATCTTGGAAGGCTTTAAAAAAATAGGTTAAGCATTTGCCCTGGAATCAGTGAGAAGACAGTCCTGATGATCTTTCAAGGTCACTCTTTTTAAAATGTTTGTGAACATCCCAGGCATGCCAGGAGTGGTACTGGAGGCATTTACAGACATTATTGTATTTTTTCTTCAACCAAACCCTTGGAGGTGTATTCCCAATTTACAGATGAAAAAAACTGAGGCTCAGAAAGTTTAGGCAAAGTACAGAACTAAGACTCGAGTGCTGGTGTCTAATGGTTTGATTCCATATGTGTCCTATCACTCTGCCCAGCACTTGGAATATGTCTGTTTTTCCCTAGAGGCCATCATATGTCCTCCTGGTTTCTAGAAACTGTGGTCCTTCCTCCTCTATTTCCCCACATTCCTTACCCAGAGCCCTGACCCTGTGCTTCTCCCCATCAGGTGTGACCCAGGCTGGGAGGGACTGCACTGTGAGCGCTGTGTGAGGATGCCTGGCTGCCAGCATGGTACCTGCCACCAGCCCTGGCAGTGCATCTGCCAGAGCGGCTGGGCGGGCAAGTTCTGTGACAAAGGTAGGGGAGAGGGAGGGCAGCTGTTGGCTGGGGAGCCCATGTGTCTTGGGAGAATATCCATCAGTATTTATTGAGTGTCGATTGTATCTTGGTCAAACCCTCAAATACATGGCATTTTATCATTTTTTATTTTATACCTGTCTATTGTCTGAACTGATCCTCAACATAATACCATGAAGTAGGAAAGGCAGCTGCTAAAAACTGTACTTATTTTATAGACAGGGAAACTGAGGCCCACAGAAGAGCTGTAACTTGCCCAAAGTCAGTTGAGACAGACTGACAGAGCCCGGGCCAGGAGCCTCCTGACTCCCAATTCGGTGTTGCTGTCTTCCTTCAGCACACCACACCAGCCTGGGGTGGGTGTGTGGTGCGAGCCACAGCCACAGTCTGGAAGGCCTGGTCACATGGGGCCTTGGTAGGTCTGGGGACCAGATGTGAGGAGCTGTCCTAGAGCCTTCCCTGTCTCTTCTCCAGATGAGCACATCTGTACAACACAGTCCCCCTGTCGGAACGGAGGCCAGTGCATATATGATGGGGGCGGTGAGTACCACTGTGTGTGCCTACCAGGCTTCCATGGGCGCAACTGCGAGCGCAAGGCTGGACCCTGTGAACAGGCAGGGTGAGTGCTGGGCCTGTGGAGCGAGTGGGAGTTAAGGCCAGAATCTGGTGACAGGATAGGAAAGAGGCAAGACTGGTGAGAAGGTGGAGGTCTGAGGGTGAGACCCACATGGGGCACTGTAACAGAAAACCCCAGTATGCCAAAGTGTTCCTAATTCAGGGATTCTCAACATTTTTGTACCTTCTAAATCACTTCTTCAACAACAATCTATAGGGCCTAAAGGTGTAATAGTAATAGATAAATGTATGTTTGCTCTGGTTGGGGAGGGTGGGTGTGGGGAGACTGGTGGGGGGGCACAGGACTCCCCCATTCGCTGCCAAACACTGGCATGCAGCCCTTAAAGATGATCCACACAGCAGCCTTAGCCCTGTCTTATAGATGAGGAAACAGCCTTCAGGGCTGAACTTGTTCTCATTTGGCTTTAGGCCTATTTGCCTGTGGGGATAATAACAGCATGCTTACTCTGAACCCTGCCGTGGGTCCAGACTCTGTGCTAACTGCTTGACATTGGATTTGCTCATTTAACCCTCACAATTTGGGAGGCTGGGAACTATTTCTGTTCTCATTAAAAAAATGAGTATGTGAGGCTCAGAGAGTGTGGCCCAAAGTGACATAACTAGACTTGGGGGGGGGCAGTGTCAGGGTGCTGACCTGGGCTATTCTGCAGGTGTCAGGAAGTTGGTATCAATGTCCTCTTTCACCCTCACTCCAGCTCCCCATGTCAGAATGGCGGGCAGTGCCAGGACAACCAGGGTTTTGCTCTCAACTTCACATGCCGCTGCTTGGCGGGCTTTGTGGGTGCCCGCTGTGAGGTAAATGTGGACGACTGCCTGATGCGACCTTGTGCTAATGGTGCCACCTGCCTCGACGGCATCAACCGCTTTTCCTGCCTCTGCCCTGAGGGCTTTGCTGGACGCTTCTGCACCATCAACTTGGATGACTGTGCCAGCCGCCCATGCCAGAGAGGGGCTCGTTGTCGGGACCGTGTCCATGACTTCGACTGTCTCTGCCCCAGTGGCTATGGCGGCAAGACTTGTGAGCTTGTCTTACCTGTACCAGACCCCGCCATCACAGTGGATACCCCCCCAGGGCCCACCTCAGCTGTGGGGGTACCTGCCACGGGGCCAGCACCCCACAGCGCAGGAGCCGGTCTGCTGCGGATCTCAGTGAAGGAGGTGGTACGGAAGCAAGAGGCTGGGCTGGGTGAGCCTAGCCTGGTGGCCCTAATGGTGTTTGGGGCCCTCACTGCTGCCCTGGTTCTGGCCACTGTGCTGCTGACCTTGAGGGCGTGGCGCCGAGGTGTCTGCCCCCCTGGACCCTGTTGCTACCCTGCCCCACGCTATGCCCCAGCATGCCAGGACCAGGAGTGTCAGGTTAGCATGCTGCAAACAGGGCTCCCCCTGCCTGACCTGCCCCCTGAACCTGGAAAGACCACGGCACTGTGATGGAGGTGGGGGCTTGGTGGCCCCCTTCCTCAGCTCTTCCTCCACTCAGACTGAAATGGTTCTTCTCATCACCTTCACTTGGGTACACATACTGAGGAGACTTCAGCCTCACACCAGAAATATTATTTTTTTAATACACAGAATGTACGATGGAATTTTATCAAATAAAACAATGAAAATGCAAGTGGGATCCTATGCCAGAAAAACCCTCGTGGAGTCCCAGATGCCAGAAGGCCAGAGCAGAGGCCTGGTTCTAGGGAGGCCTCAGGACTCTGCCCACCAAGTGGATTCCAAAGTATAATCTGGGTGCCCTTTTCCCCTCTGGGGAGGTAAGGGAGAGGTAGAGCCACGGAGGATAATGTAAACAAGCGGCCAGCACCTTCAGGGCCCCAGCCAGGATGGAGGAAAGGGAGAACCTGCAGGATGGTGGATCAGCTCAGAGCTCCTGCGGTGAGGGGTGGGCTCCCTGCTGGCTGCTCTGCAGCAGCTGCTGGAACAGGGAGTGGGGCTGGCTGCGCAGAGCTGCGGGGGAGTCCAGCTCCATGACCCTCCCTGCTTGCAGCACCAGCACCCGGTCAGAGTTCAGGATTGTGTTGAGCCTGTGTGGGGGAAGACAGTCAATATAGGGGATGAAAGATAATGCCTAAGAGAGAAAGCTGGCTTGCTGTCCCTCTTCTCCCCTCGGGACACACAGGTCTGTCCCTGCAGGCTTTAGCCTCTGGCTCTGTGCAGGGGCAAGGACTTCAGGGTTTCCTCTGGGACCCTGAACCTAAAGCAATGGTGCTTCTGGGCCATGCTACCATGGTCCCTGATGAGAATGTCCCTCTGGGCACCTGCACACCTGTGGGCAATGGTCAGCACTGTCTTGTTGGCAAAGCGTTTGCAGATGGTCTGCTGGAGCAGCTGGTCTGTCTTCTGGTCCACACTTGCTGTGGCCTCATCAATACACAGGATCTGGAATGTGAGAAGAGTGTGGGGGGCAAGGAGGAGAGGCTGTAAGGTAAGCTGAGCTGAGCCCAAGCACCAGCCCCCGTAATAGTTCCCCACCTCCAGCTCTAAAAGGAAAACAAACTTAGTTCCCTGAAACCTTTCCCCAGCCCACCACCTCACCCTGACAAGTTCCTTGCCTCCTGCCTGGCCCTCCTGAATGTCTTCTTCTCGCCTTACCTTGGCATCTGTGAGGAGAGCCCTGGCCAGACACAGCAGCTGCCTCTGCCCCAGAGACAAGCTCCGGCCCCCTTCGCCCAGCTCACCATCCAGACCACCTATGAGAAGAGCATCTTCACTGCAGGGTCCGGGCCTCTCCCTGCTCCCTCCCTTCTCCCTCCCTGCTCTAGGGTCAGGGCTCAGTACTCACCTAGGGTCATGATCACCTCCCTTAGGTGGCACTGCTCCAGGGCCTGCCACAAGGCACTATCCTCATGTATGCCCTGGGGGTCCACGTTTTCCCGAACAGTCCCACTGAACAAAAAGGGCTCCTGGGGGATGATAGCCAGCTGGGATCTGGGGGACAATGACATGGGGTCCAGGCTGGAGGTGTGGCTACTTCTGCTCCCAGCAGTTGCTGGTGATAGGGCTAGCACCTCCATGAAAGCCTGGGGGTGACCTGAGCATAACCCCCAATCTGGTCCCCATCCCATTCCCAACGGATGAATAGGAGTCAGCTGTGCCACTGCTATGAGCAATACCAAGGAAACCCAAGGTTAGACTCTGCCCTCAGAGCCTACATCTCATCGAGGTCAAAAAACTAGAGAAAAACAAATGGGCCAAATTGTGTAGCACTGAAACCAGGGACAGCAGTAGCTAGGCAGTGAATGACCAGAGTGGTTGAAAGGGCAGGGGACACTTCAAGGTTGGAGTGGGGCTAGAATTGGGCCTTGAGGAGCTATGTGGTCAAGCTATAAGGTAAAGCCACCATAGCTTAGAAGAGAAGGCAAAAGAGGCAGGACTGAGCTTTGGGACACAGCTTCCCTGCCTTCTCCATGTCATGAAACTCATAAAATGACACTAGGCTAACATGGGGGTAGTGGTGAGGGATGCATAGCCCCTGCTAAGGCCACTTGTGGCCAGGGACAACTGGCCCAGGTCTCAAGCTGTCTCAAGCACCGCCTGCTGAGCCTTAAGGCTGAGGGGATCAGAGTCTTGGGGCCCAGCACCTAGGAGGCTCTGATTTAGAAGGCAGTGACTAGCACTGCAAAGTGGAGGGAGTATGCTGGGAAGTGCAAAAAAGATAAAGCTGGAAAGGTGGCCTGGGTCGGGCGAGGACGACCCTGAGCCCACCTGCCATGAATCTGGTCCTGAGTGCTAGGAGTTTGCTGTGCTCACCTGTTTGTCCCACCCTCCACTAGCCCTGGCTGCCCTGAGTTTACATGAAGTCTTCCTAGCTGTGCTCTCCTCTAAGTACCAGCAGTTCTGGCTCCCCTCTTCCCTCCCCCAACTCTCCTCCCCCAGACCTGAGTTCAACCAGCTCCAGCTGGCTGGTGTCCACACCATCCAGCAGCACTTGCCCTGAACTGGGCTCCAGCAGCCGGAAGAGCACCAAGAACAGGGAGGACTTGCCAGAGCCCGTGCGGCCCACGATGCCCAACTTCTCTCCAGGTTGCACACGGAAAGTCACTCCATCCAGGGCATTCGGCAGCCCTGGTCGGTACACCAACACCACATCCTGAAACTCCACACTCCCCTGGGTCAGCCAGCCAGTACTCTGCTGGGTCTGTGGGTGGGAGATGGAGAGATGAACAGGAGTGATGGTGAGGAGGGGAGAACAGAGAAATGAACAGCGTGAGAGGAAAGGTGGGGGCAGGAGGGATGTGGAGGAAGGGCCCCAGTGAAGAAAGGGGCAATCGTGCAGAGAGGGTCAGGGAGCTGAAGAACAAAAGGATAGGACTGGGGAAGAAACCAGAACCTTCAGCAGGGCCTTCAGGGTTCTAGAGCTCTGGCCTGGGAGGGGGGGTGCAGGCCCACCTGTAGCAGCTGGCCCTGGGGCTCCTGGGGCAGGTCACAAGAGTACTCCTCCAGCCGCTCAACGCTCACCAGCATGGTCTCCGTCTGTGTGAAGCTGCTCACCAGGCCCGAGAGCAGGCCCGTCAGGGACAGGGCATAAGACAGCGACAGGCCCACCAGTCCTGGGTGAGAGGAGCACCAGCTGCTGGGGGAGTGTGGATGCTGGGATGTGTGTGGGAGATGGGGGGCAGGACAGGAGACTATCATGCTGTGGACTGTGGGTATTTAAAGGAGGCAGCAGAGAAGCAGAAAGGTGATGGACCCAGGCCAGGAGCTTAGGCTGCAAGGCAATGGAGTGGGCCTGGAGAAGCTAGGGGGAATGGCAGGTGAAGACTGAGGTGGGCCAGGCAGAGTAGTAGGGATAGGGGTGGGAGCAGGGAAGGGGCTGAGACCAGAAGCTCAGAAGGCTCATTCTGACCCCGGAGCCACCACCGCTCTGGAAAGTCACTCCTGGAGATGGTTTCCTCAACTCTAAACTGGGGGTGATAATGGTATATGACACATTCTCACAGAGAACCCAGGGTGGGAGGTAGAAATGTTGGAGTGGACAATGAGGAGGGACCTGGAGGGGTTGGAATAACTCCCTCCTGAGGTGGGGCTAAGGGTCCCAGTGGTACCTGGGTTAGCAAGGCCCTGCTGGTGCTGCACCAGGGCGATGCCTGCAATGGCGCTGACCACGACTGCCCCCATGAGCTGTAGCCGAATGTCCAGCCACTGCATCGCAGCACTGGCGGCAAACTGGCACCTCTGGTTTAGCTCAAGGAGTCGCTGGTTCTCCTTCTTGAACCTGGGGGAGGCCAGGAGGGAAGTGAGGGTACTCCGCTGTTGCACTGACCCTCCAAGACTCCTGTCCAACGGAACAGCTTCTCCTTAGGAGCTAATCTCCACACCCACAGGCCTCTCCTGAGGGGGGTCTCTCTGCCTCACTATCTTTTTCTTTTGTTTTCCTCATTCCCCTGAACCTGCACTAAATCATTCACCCTTCCCTTCCCTTCTGTCCCAGGAGGCCTGACCCCCCACTCCTGACACTTCACTTCTTAGGGGTTCCTCTTTTCCCCTACCCTCAGCACCTCATCTTCCTGGGTTCTGGCTGGGAGAGGCGGACTTCACACACCTGCAGGCGGCCCCGGCAGCTCGGAGCACGGGGAGCCCGGCCAAGGTGTCGGCCAGGTGGGTATAGAGTGGAGACAGGGTGAGGCTGCCCAGGCGCCGCAGCTCCCGCGAGGAGGCCCTGTAGTGGCGCTGCACGCGGTAGTAGATGATGCTTAGAGGAGGCAGCAGCAGCAGCAGCCAGGGCAGGCCTGAGCCCAACACAGCCAGGAGGCCCAGCAGGCCTGCTGCGTTGGCTAGGAGGATGTTGAGGATGAAGGGCAGGCTGTCATCCACGCAGGCCACATCAGAGGAGAAGCGGTTTAGGACCCGGCCTGTAGGCGTGGTGTCGAAGAAAGTCACCGGCACCTGGGAGAAGGGGGCTGGCTGGGCAATGGCAGGGTCTGGCAGAAAAGGGTTGGTGGGAATCCCTGAGGGGGAGAAGGCCAAGGTAGGAAAAAGGGAAAGAGTAAAGTATCTCAGAGTTTGGGGGCATAGAGGAGAGACTGACAGAGTTTGGAGGAAGAATATCCTGGGGTTGGAAAGACAGAGACTTCCATCTCTAAGAGGTTATGCTGGCCACTCCAGGTCTTCTGGGCTAGACATGCCTACTGCCCTTTTCAGGGGAGAGAGCTAACCTCTCTCCAGCAGTGAGTAAGATTTAGTCAGATGTCAGGACATCCTGACTGCCTGTGGCTGGACAGAGTAGTGAGTATTATCGACAAAGTCAGTATAATCTTATGGTTAAGAGCTCAGGCTCTGCAGTCAGATGACAACTCAAATTCTACCTCTGCCACTTAGTGGCTGTGAGACTCCAGGAAAGACACTTAGTAACCTCTCAAAGGCCTCTGTTTCTCATCTGAAAAATGGGGACAATAATGGAACTGTGCCTCATAGGGCTGTTAGTAGACTAAATGCCATATATACATGGTAGTCAAGTGGGTAGCAGCATTGGCCTGGTATTGGAGTAAGTACTCAATAATTGCTGTTTGGACTACTATTGTGAGTAATAGTCTTGAACACAGTCCTTTCCCTTCCCCCGTCCTCCCTGTCTTTTGACTCTGCCTTTCCTTTGGGAACAGTCCTATCTTAAGGAGGGCACTAGGTCAAATGGCTTTCTAAAGCAGTCTAATGTCAGCTTATGAGAAATTAACTCCTTCACAGCATGATGGCCTCTCCTAGGCTCCTGGAGGAGAGGTGCAGCAGTGGGCACCTAATTCTCCAAAGAATTAGCTCTGTCCAGGTCACCTCAACTCTCAGCACCTGTTTCCTCATCTGTAAAATGGGCATAACAGAACCTATTTACAGGGTTATTACGAGGCCCTAATAAGATAATGGACATAACAGGACTTTGTAATAATAACATTAATAATGATTGTTAAGTGGGTACTTAATGTGTGCCAGGCACCATCCTAAGCCCTTTCCACAAACTAACAAATGTAATCCTCATAAGTATATGGGGTAAGTAACAGACCATATATACACAGGGCAACAGGGACAGAAACAGCCCTAACTAAAAATTGTAAGAAATGGAATGTGATATCTAACACAATGTCATTCACATAAATTAAAAATATGTGCACACAAAACAGGCAGTTTGCAAAAAGATAAAAAGATATATATTAAACATACTTAGAACAGCCAGGCATGGTGGCTCATTCCTGTAATCCTAGCACTTTGGGAGGCTGAGGCAGGAGGATTGCCTGAGTCCAGGAATCTGAGACCAGCCTGGGCAACTTGGTGAGACCCTCGTCTCTATAATAAATAAAAAAATTAGCCAGGTGTGGTGGTGTGAGCCTGTAGTTCCAGCTTCTTAGAAGGCTGAGGTAGAAGGATCGCCTGAGCCCAGCAAGTCAAGGCTGCAGGGGCTGTGAGCGTGCCACTGCACTCCAGTCTGGGTGATAGAGTGAGGCTCCAACTCAAAAAAAATAAATACATACATAAATAAATAAATACACGGACAATGATAGATAGAGGCTAGAAATATAGATGAGGCCAAATCATATAGGGCCTTTTAAAAAAAGGAAACAGGTCGGGCTCGGTGGCTCAGCCTGTAATCCCACACTTTGGGAGGCCGAGGTGAGTGAATTGCCTGAACCCGCGGGTTCGAGACCCGCCTGGGCAAATTGGTGAGACCTCATCTCTACAATAAATCAAAAACAAACAAACAAACAAACAAAAACAGCCAGGCGTGGTAGCACGCACCTGTAGCTCCAGCTACTTGGAAGGCTGAGGTGGAAGGATCACTGGAGCCCAGGAGGTTGAGGCTGTGGTGGCCGGGAGCATGCCACTGCACTCTAGTCTGGGCAACAGAGTGAGACTCCAACTCAAAAAAACAAAAAAAAGGAAACATACTTAGAACGGTTGTTTACCAAAGAATGAGTGGGAAGTAAAACAGAAAGGGGGCCTTGCAAAAACTAGGGAGTCAACCCACTGCACCTGAAATCTAAAACAGAAGCAATCCTGAGGTAGATTCCTTTATTTGCCCCACTTTACACATGAGAAAACTATAGGTTTAAATAACTGGGTTTAAACTCAGGCAGCCAGTCAGCTCTGCAGCCTTCCTGGGTCTTGCAGGTTGTCCTGTGCTATACTCATCTGTGAGGAACAGTTTTATCCTGAGGACTAGGGATGTAGGATGGGGCCCCACTGTAGAAGGGCACTGCACAGGGCTAGGACTGCATTCCCCTGCACCCACCCTCCATCCTCTCACCATAAAGACTCGATGCAGCAGGCGGCGATGCAGGGTGGCAGCTGCTTGGAGGGTACCTGCTGCAAACAGCACTGCCCGGAGAAGGGTGCAGAGGGAGTTGACACCAGCAATGGTTGCATAGACGGTGAGGTAGAACCTGATGTCTGAGGAGCCATTGGGGGCAGCTTTGGGCAGTGGGAACACTGGGGTGCTGGGTGGTGAGGAGGGGACTGTGGGTAACCAAAAGTAGGGCCACCCAGGGGTCCCTTCCCTTCCCCCATGCCACCTCTCCCCACCCTCCAGGAGACACAGCCCCTGGTAACAGGCTCCAACCCTCACGCCCTGCCTGGCAGCCACTCTGAGAACATCAGGCTGACTTCCAGCCCCAGCTACTCACTATAGGCTTCCAGGGGAGAAGAGGAGCAACTGTGGGGAGAAGAGTCCTGTAGGACCCAGGCTGGTGGAGGCTGGGGCCTCCTGGGAGCTATTCTCAGCCTTCAGCTGAGAGATCCAGTGGGAGAGCCACCAGTCAGCAGCATTCCGCGTGGCTGGGCGGGGACAGGAAGGAAAAAGCTGTGAGACTCATCACCCTCATTCTAGTCAAACACCTGCTTGCTCTGCCCTTGACTCTAGCTCCTACTCTTCATCACCCCTCTCTACCTGGCCACTACCCACATCCTCCCTGGTGGCTGCTTCCTTCCTAAGCCCATCACCCTTCGACTCTGGGGCGAGCAGGGTCTCAGCTTCGCAGAATGGGAACTAATCTGGGGGCAAAACAGAAGGCAGCAACAGATTGCCCCCTCAGGTCCCTGGGCTTCAGAATCGGGTGTATGTTTTTGTCCCAGCTGTTCCCAATGCTTGGGGAGTCTCTGGGTTATGATAATTAGTAAAGGTGATAGGCAGTGGGTGGTGTATGGTGTAAGGAACTCTTGGGTCAACTCTCACCTTGCATAAGGAGCAGAGAGAGGATGATGGCTAAGGCCAAGCCCTGGCCCACAGCCTTCCAGTACGCGTGGTACACGTGCAGGGCCACGGCGCCCTCCTTCTTGCTTTCCTCTTGCAGCAGACGGCCAGATGCACTCTGCTCCACCTCCAGCCCCTCCTTTGTTTTCTCTGAGTTCTGTACTGACTGGGCTGTGGCTGTGAGAATTGGGGAGGTCATGGAGGAGTTAAGCTTGCAGGATGCCAGTTGAAAGCTCAGGATTTCAGAGGAGCAGGCAGGTTTTGTAAAAAAAGAAATCTCTACAGTGTGGCGGTGCAGAGTAAGCCCTTTCCTCCCACCAGGGGCCATACCTGAGTCGGATTCTTGCCCATCCTCAGCCCAGGCCTTGGGTACAGCTTGTACCAATGGCAGGATCTCAGAGGGAGGCCCTGGATGGTAGACAGTGAGATTAGGCGGGGGCTGTTCTGGGTCAGTACGGTGCCTCTCTAATTGTGTGCAGATCCCACCTCCCTTCCTCTTTGCCCCCCCTCTCCAACCCACCCTAGCAGGATTCTGTTCTGGATCCCCCAAACTCTGACCAGGACTCATCAAATCCATCCCTCTGCCCATGGATTCCAACCAGCAGAGAAGGACAAACATTCATCCCTAAGGGGGAAGGTCATAGCTGCATGTGAGCACCCCGGTGCAGGGTTACTTCTCCTTACTGCAGAGCTTTTCCCCATGTCTCACTCAGTTCCTAACATCTGGTTGAGCCTCACTTTCTCTCCCAGAGAACTTGCAGGTGGTCATGGCCCTCTGCATTATAATTCCCCCATTCCCTCACACCAGTTCTGTGAAGGAGAAGGCAGGAGGAGCAATGACTGGCTCAGGCCACATGTGGAGGGGGTAGCAGAATCCACGCTTGACAATCCGCCGTCTCTCCTCCTCTGTCACACCTGGGTAGATGCCTCCTTCACCCAGCCAGGCTCCTGCCCCCCTTACCAGCCTGGACAAGACGCCCAGCTTCCATCAGCAGAACCATGTCAGCCTTCTCCAGATACTCGGTGCGGTGGGTGCAGAGCAGCCGTGTGGTGTGGCTCAGCATTCCCAGGATGCATTTGTGCAGCAGATGATTGGCCACATCTGCATCCACAGCAGCCAGAGGGTCATCAAGGAGATAGAGCTCCTTTTCCTAGGGAGAGATGGAAGCACCATGGGCACCAGGACCCAAGTCCTCTGGCCAGAACCCAGAGGTTCTGCTAGGAAGATCTCAGAACAGTCAGAGAAGATGGGTAAGAGGAACTCTGGGGCTATCTTACAGTAGCAGAGAAGGAGGTGGAACCTGAAGGTGATATCCCTACAGTCGGGTAAGACCAGCACCCCAGGGCCACTGCGCAGCCTTGCCAGGTCCTGGTGCCTCAGGCGACATACGGTTTTTGTTTTTTTTTTTGAGACAGGTTTCTTGCTCTGTCACCAGGCTGGAATGCAGTGGCATAATCATAGCTCACTGTAATCTAGAATTCCTAGGCTCAAGTGATCCTCCCACCTCAGCCTCCCAAGTATCTGGAACTACAGGCACATGCCACCATGCCTGGCTCATTTTGGGGGGGAGGGGTGGGTAGAGATGGAGTCTCACTCTATTTCCCAGGCTGGTCTCAACTCCTGGCCTTAAGCTGATCTTCCTGCCCCAGCCTCCCAAAGTGCTGGGATTACAAGCATGAGCTACCTCACCTAGCCCACATAATGCTTTTTCAAAGGCCTTCATTTTGCCCTAAACCTGTAAAAGGGGGATGGAATGGGAGGGAAGAAACCAGATATTGAGGAAAATATCCCTATACCCCAAACTTAGTCAAACTCTCAAGGCTTTGGACTCCCCCCAATCCCCTGCCCCCTATCTTTACCTTACCTGGTAGACAGCACGAGCAAGGGCAATTCGTGCCCGCTGTCCTCCACTGAGGGTCACACCCTTCTCCCCCACCTCTGTCTGGTCTCCAGCAGGCAGGATCTGAAGGAACAGGTAACCCAGTGGGTAAGTGAACTCCAGAATACCTTCTGGCCCACTTTTTATCTCCTTGCAAGAGAATTAGGAAACTTGAGGAGATTGGACTTAAATTTGAGGTGAGCTAGTTAGAGTAGGCAAGCTACAATTCCAACAACATCTAGAATTAATTGAACACTTACTAGTGCTCAGTACTTCACAGGCATTTTCTTATTCTTACCCAGCAACAACCTTATGAAGCTGGTATTATTTCCTTCTCACAGACCAAAGCGGAGACAGACGAACTACCCTGCCCACCCCCAGTACGGGGCAGGACACCAATTCAGATTCTTAACCACTCTGTCACATTTACTACCCTGTCTTTTTAACAGGCAAGACAATAAGGTAGACAATGGGCAAATTTGATGTGAAAGCTTTCATAGGTTTTTAGAGAAGGAATGTATCCTGAACCTTCCTGTGGCCTCAGGGGTGGTTTAAGCTAAAGAGTTTCCATACACAGAGGAACACCTGTGATCCACTAGATGGTGATCCCCTGAGGGAAAAGCTTTTCATCTCTTTTCTTTCTTTTTAAAATTATTTTATTTTATTTTAAAGATGTGGGGTACAATTCAGGATTAGGTATACAAGTGGTCATTGTACAGGTAAAGTTTGGGCCTCCCTTTAGTCCTCACTTTGCCTAGTTTGAGATCAATCAGGTACCCTTATTGATGTTGTGTGTCCCCTCCCACCCACTCGGCAGTTTCCCACTACTGCCAATCCCTTTCTTGTAGTATTATGATAAATGTTGAGGGTCTGCTTATGAGTGAGAACATGTGGTACTGTTATTTGTTTCTGTGATAGATCACTGAGTATTATAGACTCTAAATCCATCCAAGTTGCTGCAAGTCATCACTTTTCTTAGTGCCTAGAACTGTATCCAGGATCCAGCAGGCATGTGGGGGAAGCTTTATGTGGAAGCAAATGATAAATAGACACAGGATGCCCCGAGGTCAAAGTCAAAGGTGTTCCTTTCCAGGGAAGTGTCACATTTACCTGGGTAGGGAAGGGGTGGTGACAGTCCTAAAGGGGACATGGGGATTGGGTGAGTAGTCATGGGAGAAATCTGGGCTCTCTTCCCCAATAAATTTAGTACTCTGGGTTGGGGGCAAGGGGCAGTCTGATGGCTAGGCAGGTTTCCCTTGGGTAACCTGCAATTACATGAGACTTGACCCTTTTGTGTTTTTCAAGTGGGAACCTGGGAAGGGAACCCTTCCTGGTTCAAGGCCTCAGGGTTGTCCAAGCTGCTGTGTAGAACACCCAGTCATCACTACCTCTCTAGGCCCTACAGGGAAGGGAAGGGAGAATCAAGCAGCTAGGCTCCGAGGGGATCAAAGTCTGACAGCCAGTCATAGATGTGATAAGTAAGCCCAAGTAGGAGCAGCTCCTTTCCAGAGAAGCAAGTCTTGGGTTTGAGGTGTCAGGGATAGACAGAGAAGCAGGCAGCCAAGAGGTTTCAAGACCAAACACTCACACTGAGGTCATCGTCAAGGGCACAGGCCTCTAGCACCTCCTTGTACAGCTGCGCATCAAACGTCTTCCCAAAGAGGATGTTGTCTCGGATGGTGGCAAACTGTATCCAAGGTTCCTGGGTGGCCAGGCCGAAGCCCATCGACAATCCCCACAATGCCACCTGCCCACGCAGCCTGCAGAGAACCACGCCAGCAGCATCGGCACCAGCTCCCCTCTGGGTCTCTTCATTACAGTCCTTGCCTCCCAGAAGCCTCCCCACTCTGCTGTCTTCCACACAGAGTCCCCCTTCATGCCACATGACTGTGAGTTGGCAGCCACTAAAGCCAAGGGGTCCTAATGAGGCTGCAGACTCATTCTGGATGGGGAAGGGAAGAAATCGCTATTTGCAGCCAAGCAGCTGTCATATCTAGATGTGCCCAGGAGCTCCATAGGGAATATGGCCACGACACTGTATTCATTCTCACCTGAAAACAGGAAGGTCCTCCCTCAAACCTGTGCTCCTTTCTGGATCCCTCCCCCTGCACAGCCACATTTCTGAAAGACTCACTGACACTCTGGAGGCTTATAACACTCTGGTGTGATGATTACTATAGTTCATCTCCTTAACTGCCTCCCCTTTCCAGATTGAAAAATTTCCCAGTAAAGAGACCTGTTTTGCTCTCCTTGGTACCCCTACTCCCCAAAAAGCCTGACACATGGCAGGGGCTCAGCAGGTGTTGCCTAAGGGCAGGGTGAGGACAGGCATGTGCTGGAGATTGGTTACCTGTGGAGTTCCCCAGCGATGGCAGCCAGCAGCGAGCTCTTCCCACAGCCCACCTTCCCCACGATGCCCACCAGCATGCCCTGCAAAGAAGTCATACAAGCAAGTGTCTGGTGTTTGCAGGCGAAGAGATAGAGGGGGCAGTGATCGCCTCTTGAGGCTCTGGGCTATCAATTCTCCCACTGAGGTTTCTCTCTAGGACCCAAGTAGTGTCAGGGAAAGAATTCTCCATCTCCAAAGGTGATCTGTTGGACCTAGAGAAGCAGGGTGTTTTATTCTCCACTCAGAGTTGCAATCAGTTTCACTGTCTCCGTGAAGGGCCTCTGAAGGGGAGCAGCAGCCAGAGAGAATGAGAGAAAATGCCCAAGAACTTCTGAGGTATGGTCTGAGACAGGCATCCCAGAATAGGAGAGGGGACGAAAGGACTCCAGGCTTTGGGGCCTGTGTGCTGAGCTGGCTGAGCCAACCTGTGGCTAGACTTCTGATAGCTCAGGGCAAAAAGAGTGCTTTGCACAGGTGTCCATTTCTGTGGTTTATAGTTTAAAATTGTTCTTTCTTCATTTTTTAGTTGTAACATATGTTCATGGTACTACCTCCCTGTTTGTTTTTTGTTTGTGTGTGTGTGTGTGTGAGAGAGAGAGACAGAGAGAGAGAGAGAGAGAGACAGAGAGAGAGTCAGAATCTCACTCCTGTCACCCAAACTGGTGTGCAGTGCCACAATCATGACTCACCACAGCCTCAACCTCCTGGGAGCAGGTGATCCTTCCACCTCATCCTCCCAAGTAGCCAGAACCACAGGTACATGCCACCAGGCCTGGCTAATTTTTAAATTTTTTTTTTGTAGAGACAAGGTCTTGCTGTTGTCTTGGCTGGTCTCAAATTCCTGGGCTCAAGCAATCCTCACATATCTTGGCCTCCCAAAGTGCTGGGATTATAGGCATGAGCCACCATACCTGACCTACCTCCCTGTTTAAAAAGAAAAAAAAAATCCCAGTTCCTTCTCTAGAAAGGGTCTGGGTTCTTAGAAGCTCTCTTTGTGATACCCACCCTGCCAGCCAAGATTGACTTTTTTTTTTGAGTCAGAGTCTTACTCTGTCACCTAGGATGGAGTGCTGTGGCAAGATTATGGCTCACAGCAGCCTCAACCTCCTTGGCTCAGGCAATCCTTCCACCTTGGCCTCCCAAGCACCTGGGCCCACAGGCATGTACCACCACACCTGGCTAATTTTTAAATTTTATTTATTATTTATTTATTTTTGAGTTGGAGTCTCACTCTGTCACCCAGGCTGGAGTGCAGTGGCATGCTCACGGCCATCCCAGTGTTGACCTGCTGGGCTCTGGTAATCCTTCCGCCTCAGCCTTCCAAGTAGCAAGAACTACAGGTATGCACTACCACGCCCAGCTAATTTTTTGATTTGCTGTAGAGATGAGGTCTCACCAAGTTGCCCAGGCTTGTCTCAAACCCATAGGCTCAGCAATCCACTCGGTTTGGTCTCCCAAAGAGCCACCAAGCCGAGTCTAATTTTTTTATTTTTTTAAATAGAAATGAGGTCTCGCTATGTTGCCAGGCTGGTCTTGAACTCCGGGGTTCAAGCATTCTCCTACCTTGGCCTCCTCTCAAAGTGCTGGGATTACAGGAGTGAGCCACCATGACTGGCCCAGGGCACCATTTCGGAGACCCTTCCCCAGGAACTTGGGATCAGGTCCCAAAGGCAGCTCCTTCCTGTTAGTGGGTCTCTGCCACCAAGTGGGAGAGCTCTCTGCATTCACACTTCTGCTGAACAGAGTATGGTCCACAGAAAGAGAGAAGAACCAGGCAAATCCAGGAAGAGAAGCCCACAAGAGGCAGAGAGCTCTGCGAGTTCAGGCCTGGTCTGGGCTGTTTCTAAGATTCAGCTGCATTCCTACAATTTATCTCTATATCCTTATTATAAATTCTTGTTTGCTTAAGCTAGCTCCAGTGGGTTTCTATAACTTATATCTAAAAAAAAAATTCCCAACTAACACATTAGCAAAATTCCTTTGAAAAATTCCAGCCTTGTCTTGCCTGAACTAAGAGGAAAAACAAAACACACGGCCCAAGCCAGAAACATGAGCCAAATGTGGCAGAAGCAATTCAGCCACCACTGGAGGATGCTGGGTTGAGCTGTGGGGCATGGGGTTGGACAAAGGTCAGGAGAGAGTGAAAATGCAGGACTGTGGGTGCACAGGGGTTGCTTTCCTGCCAGGAATGTTCTCACTGTAAGTTCTTCTTTGACGATGTATGCTGTAGCATGAGTCACAGTTGTGCCTGCTTTTCACCAGGCTAAACAGAGGATCATCTATCCCATTTGTAAAATCTGTCTTGGAAGGAGTTGCTGGGCCTCTCCCCAGGTCCTCAGGCTGAGAAGATGCTAGGTAAGCCCCTGAGCCTGTTCTGAACGCTAAGCCTCTGCAGGACATGGAGAGACAAACACACCTGTCCATCTGGGCGGTGTGGACATAAGCTGCCCAAAGACCAGGGAGAGAAGTGACTGCTCTAAAAAAGCTGGGTGTGGAGGAATGAGATGCAGACATGAGATGTTATCTCCTCTCAGACTGGACCCTGCTCACCAAACCCCTTCACTCTTTCCTCAGCGATTAGAGCTGGAGTCCTTGTTTATCTGTCATGAGTTCCATCTCTCGTTAGTCTAGAGACTCTCCCATGGTATCTGTCCAACAAACCTTTTTCACTTCAAGATGACTGATGAAGGTCTCCTGGCTGGTTCCAACTGGGTCCCATGAGAACAGGGCTCCATGCAGCTCCAACGCTGTAGATGGCTCTGTTGGGGGATCTGAACAGGGAAGCAGTCACTTGACTTAGGCTCCTAATTTATCACCAACCTGCTTGGGGAGGGTAAGCCAGGGGCATATTGTTGACTCATCTGTCTGCCCAGAACTAATTCATTCTCATTCTTGTTCTGCTCTGCCTATATCCTGCTGCCTCTGACTCCTCTTGGCAGCATCTATCCACAGTACCCAAGTGACTACATTCCCCTCCTCACCCCGTACCAGGTTCTGCCCTCTGCCTCCCCTTACCTGCACTGTAGTAGGCCTGGGGATTGTGGTTTGGAAGGTCGAGGAAACGCTGGATCCGGTCCAAGGACACTTTGGCCTCCAGGAGGCCATTGATCACCCAAGGGAAGTTGTTGAGGGGAAGAATGAGCATGCCCACCAGTGCCAGGGCTGTGAACACCTGAGTGGGGTAGAAGAGGGGTGAGGCCCCAGGAGCTAGTGAAGGCCTGCTCTGTGGGCACAGGTGTGGAGGGAAGAACAGGGCAGCAGCAGAACTGAGGGGTCGGCTGAACAATCCTAGGAGTAGAGGTGGCCACTCCAAGAATCCTAGAAATTTCAATGTTGCTTCAGGGGTCTAAGTTGCCTCTTGATAAGTCTAGCTAATCTTGAAACCTTCCCAGAATTTTTTTCTTTTTGAATCAGAGTCTTACTCTGTCATCCAGCCTGGAGTGCAGTGGCATGCTGCTCACGGCCACTGCAGCTTTGACCTGCTGGGCTCAGGCGATCCTTCTACCTTAACCTTCCAAGTAGCTGGAACTACAGGCGTGTGCCACCATGTTCAGCTAATTTTTTTATTTATTGTAGAGACAAGGTCTCGCCATGTTGCCCAGGCTGGTCTCGAACCCGTGGGCTCAGGCAATCCTCTCACTTCTGCCTCTTAAAGTACTGGGATTACAGGCATAAGCCACCATGCTGGCTAAACTGCCTCAGAATTTTTAAGTAGTAACATCACCTGGCTTTGGCCAGACCCAGCACGGGATCATGGATTTTTTTCCTAAGTCCACTAGAATAAGGAAAAGGGGACTTCACCCCAATCCTGGTCCTGACTGGAGTGGAAAGAAGAGGAGGAGGACAAGGATTCCTTCACAGAGGGGAGAGTTATATATCTGCAGTACCAGAAAAAGGTTCCTCAGTCTCCCCTTGGCTGAGAAAGGATGTGGTAGCCAGGAATCCTTTCTTCCTCCCCAGCCAGCACCAAGGACCTGAGCCCATCTCTTCACCACTGCAGTCCTGCGATGCTGGTGCCCTCCCATGCCTTTCTAGAGCTGTACCTCTTCTGGGTCCTCACCTTGGTGGCAGTGAGCTGGTGCCCCATGAGGACATAGGTGATGAAGATGACGATGGAGATGACTACCGGCAAGGCAGCCCACAGGTACACACAGGCTGCATCCAGGTACTTGATGACCCGGAGCCGCCCCAGCTCTCGAGCCCGCCAGGCCTCTACTCGAGCTCCCAGTGCCTGCTCCCATCCACAGAACTTGATGACCCGAATGCCAGTCAGCAGTTCTGTCATGAGCTAGGGACAGGAGACAAGAGAACAGTATGAAGAGGAGACCCAGACCCACTATGCTGCTCATGTGTTTCCCCCTCTGCCAAGTCTTCCCCGGGCTCCTGCAGAGACTGTCAAGTGCTTGAACTCCCAGATACTCTGGACTTCCCTAGCCCTGGCTCTCTTCCTCACCTCAGTCCTTTCTGGAAATCCTGCCCTTCAAATCCTTCTCAGCCCTGGGTTGCTTCCCCTCCCAGTCTTTTACTTCTCCATTTGCTCCAGCTGGGGACAGGTTGTAACTGGAAATCCCCGTCTCCCTAGGAGAGGAAGTGGTGGAAAGTGTAGGCAGGTCACCACACTGGGGTAAACGAACTCCTTCTCTCATAGAGAATGGACTAAGGACCATTCCTCAAAGCCAAAAGATGTGAGCTGGGGGCTGGCCACCAATTTTGGTCCATGGCTTGGGGGATACAGTAATCATTCCTGTAGAAATATACAGGCATGAGAGGACACCTCACAGCCTAGGGTCAAACAGGACAGTGGGTCCAGGCAAGATGAACAAGGGCCAGAGAACTCCTTGGAGACCTAGTCTGTAGCTGTCACTGGTAGGGGGAAAGGTTTCATGCCATAATCAGCTATTAGCCACCTCTCTTTGCCATGAGCACTCAGCTGTTTCAGCAAGAGGCTGACATCTATACTGTATGGACTCCAAGGATTGCCATCCCTTCTATAAAGGGACCACAATCACTACTGAACCCAGAACTGGTTGAGTCAGGCCCTCCATACCTAGAGTTGGCCCAGGAAGGAAAGTGACCTATCCCCCTCCCCCATAGCCCACCCTAAGATAGCTAGGGTTCTCCTAGGCCTCTCCATATGCAGCCATGGGGTGGTCTGTGCCCTAGACGAGGAGATGGGAGACTTGGGTTCCAGCTCTGTCACTAAACACTCATTTGGTCTCAAGATTACTTCTGACCTCTTAGGGTTGCTGCTTTGGGCCACATGAGCTAACAAGACAAAATGTCTAATGGGCCATATTTATTTAGAGCTTACTTTGTGACAGGCACTATGCTAGGTATTATCGTATCTTAACAACCCTATGAGGTGAATTATTATTCTCATTTAACAGACAGGAAGTAGAGGCCCAAATAGATTAAGTGACTTGTCTGAGGTGACTGAACTAGTTAAGCATAGAGTCAAGATTTGAACCCAGGTCCTTCTCCAGTCTCCGCTCTTTACTTCTAGGTCATTCTCATTCCCAGGCAGGGTGCCTGAGAAGACCTGAGGATCCGGGCTGGGTGAGGTCACCAGACAGCTGTGGGACCCCTAGTAGCCCCTCACCTTAACACGCGCATCCTTGTGTTGTAGCATCTCCTGGTTGCTGGCCATGATGCGGGTGGCAATCACTTTGTTGACAGGTACCAGCAGCAGTGCCAAGATCAGACCACCCACAAAGGCCACGCCCACCTGCTGGTAGAGCAGGTAGAAGGTGACAGCCAGCTGGAGGGGCAGGCCCCAGGCTTCATGGAAGCTCCCGGCAAAGTTAAGCAGTCGTTCAGAGTCAGTGCCTAGCAGGTTCAGGGCCTCCCCAGCAGGAGGGCGGCTGGGCCCCAGCTGTAAAGCCTTGCAGTACAGGATGTTCAGCACGGCCCCCCGTGCCTGAAGTGCCACCTTACGTACCTCATACCCATACTGATTCTGCAGTACAGCACCCAGTACAGCCCCGCCAGCTAGTCCCAGGGCATAGAGCAGGCCATGGCTTAGTGGTTCCTGCCCTTCCTCCAGGAAGCCCACCAGTAGGGAGAGCAGCAGGGGCCCTGAGAATCCCAGCATGGTCCCCACCAGCTTCAGCAGTCCAAGCGCCAGATAGCACCGTCCAAAGGACCCATACAGGGCCCTCCACAGCTGGGCCCCCTCCTGCCAGTGTGCCTGGAAAACACGAGCCACGTAGGTTGGATGCAGCCTGTGTGGGAGGCGGCAAGTGTCCTGAGGCTGCCTGAGCTCTCCACAGGCCCCGCGGGCCAGCAAGGGAGCCAACCAGGCATAGGAAAAGCGTGACAGCCAACTTTCCCCATCTTCAGCCACCTCAGGTTCTTGACCCTCAGGAAGGAGGGGCTCCTGAGCCCAGAATTCTTGTTGCCCCCCGGGGGCTGCCCATCCCAGTCCATAAGCCAAGAGTGCAGCCAGCTGCAGGATGAGAATGCCCAAGCGGGCCAGGGGCCCTGGGAGAAGTGGGGGCAGAAGGGTGCCTCGCTGGCAATGCCATAACAGGGTCAGCACTAGGGCTGGAGCTGGCAGGAGGGCTGCCAGAGCCAAGGCCAGAGGTCCCCGGGTGCGGCCATGAGGGGAATGGGCCAGTTTCCACAGGGCCAGGCTGTGACTGATCCAGGCCACAGCTGCCACACACCCTGCCAGCACCTCTAGCTCTATGGGCCCTGGGCCTGCCCCTGGTGGCAAAGCAACTGGAAGGAGGTCCAGAAGAGGGAAGATGGAGAGCAGGAAGGAAGCTGCAAGTCGGAGGCGCCAGCCAGGATGGCAGGGTATGACGTAATCTGGACTCCTGAGGACAAAGGGGGAAGAAAAGGAGGTACATCATGGCTGACTCAGAACCAGAGATAGCCCTCACCTGCAATAATTCTCAGCTTACCTAAGGAATCAACTCCCTTCCTGCCTTGCTTTACATTGGAACCCAGGACCTTTTCTCCTAGGAAGTCTTCCCAGATTAACCTAATCTATTTTCTAATCTTCCCACACCATTTCTGATTCATTCTTTTACCACAGCTATTAACAATTTTGAGTTAAGGTTATACCTAACACAAATACTCTAATTTGAAAAAAATTTAAAGTGTTCATATAGATAACCACTAAAGGATACATATTTATTTTTACAAAAGGATCCATCTAGGATTATACTTAATTTCACCTGAGGGGCTGGGCACGATGGCTCACACCTATAATCCCAGTACTTTGGGAGGCTGAGGTGAAAGGACTGCCTGAGCCCACAGATTCAAGACCAGCCTGGGCAACTTGGCGAGATCTCATCTCTACAATAAATCAAAAAATTAGCCGGGCGTTGTGGCACATGCCTGTAGTTCCAGCTACTTGGTAGGCTGAGGCGGAAGGATCACCTGAGCCCAGAAGGTCGAGGCTGTGGTGGCTGTAAGCATGCCACTGCACTCCAGCCTGGGTGACAGAGTAAGACTCAGACTCAAAAAAAAAAAAAAAAATTAACTTGAACTATTCGGTGAATGAAAATTTGACTTACATACAGCTTCTGTATTCTAATACGATAGTCTATATTTTATAAAGTTTCAGAATATTCTACTCTGTCTTTCTACTGATCATAAAAGGTGGTGTGGATCACTGTAATGACTCCTTTAGCTGAAGAAAAATGGCTTCCTACTTTTGTCTATATTTTCCTGGCATACAATAAATGTTTTTTATTTATTGTAGAGATGCGGTCTCGCCATGTTGCCCAGGCTGGTCTCGAACCCATGGGCTCAGGCAATCCTCTCATCTGCATCTCCCAAAGTGCTGGGATTACAGGCATGAGCCACTGCACCCAACTAATAAATGTTTTTAATAAACAAAAGATGATCTGTCTGCCTTGAGAATCAAATACAGGAAAACATATCTGCAGAAGTGAACATCACAATGCCTTGAAGGTTCATATGAAAAGAGGACTGAATCTGTTATGCCCGTGGTGGCAGGGCTGGGTTACTAAAAAAGTTTAGTTGTGAACTAAAATGAATTGGGTTTTCCTAACAGTCCACCAGACAGAAGTTATATGAAGAAGCTCCAATACTGGAATAAAAATCAAATTATATTTCCTGCAGCAGACAGCAGACATTCTCACTGTTGTCTTGATCATTGTTCCTTTCACAAAGTATCTTTCCTTTAATAAATCTACCTTTCCTAGTTCAAAAAAAAAAAAGAATTTTATTTCCTAATATATGAGGACAGAAGAAAGAACATTGGACCTCTGGAGCCTAGTAAACTGTCCCCATGTTGGCCATCAATCAGCCTCATCACCTTGGCCAAGTTTCTTTCCCTCTCTGTATCTCACTTTCCTCATCAGTACAGCGAGTAGTGAGGGGTCAAGACCCAAAGCCCTCTGAGATCCTTTTCTGTCTGAGATTCTGGATCTTTCCAACCCTTATTAGCAACATGCAAATAAGTGAAGCGAGATAGTCACAATTTCTATTGATTACATGATGATCTTTAATGCCTTCTCAAAGGACTGTGCCAATTTTTATTAGCCACTCCTCTGTGCTAACTCAGTAAGCCTTTGTTAGTCAAGTTTGTTACTTAGTTTGTTAATCAGACTTGTACCATTCTATATAAGAGACAATTCAGGATCCTGCTGAGATCAAGTTGGTCAACAGCTTCTCCTATCCAAGGAAGTATTCTTCAACCCCCTAAGTCTTCTTTGATAGAAACACTTCCTCCCATCAGACTAGGAACTCTAAAAGGCAGAGACCAGACTGTCCTCCTGCTTTCTCAGCAGTCAGATGAGACGAACGTTAGCCATCTCCAGCCATACAAGAACTAAGTACAAAACCAAGGTGAGTTTTGCACCCACACCTTATAGTCTCAATTTGGGGAAGGCTTAAAGTTTAACCGTGCTCTTTTACCTACTGCTTCCTCTCCAGCTGAAGGCAATCTATCAACACTAAGGTTTCATGGGGGAAGAGGTGAGAAACTGGCCCCACAACGTAAATACAAGTCATTCTTTTTGGCTAAAAACATTGATTGTTCACCCAATTTTGCCTCCAAAGTCATGACATACTCATCGGGGCAGCTGAAAATCTACAGTAGTGATGGTTTCTCCCACGCATTGGGCCTTAAACAGCATGGCATCACTGCAATTTAATGTTTAAATGCATTATCTCACTGAAACCCCCCAACAATGCCATGAGACCCAGAGACGGTGGGTAGCTTGCCCAAGAACAACTCAGATTTTATTCTACTTCTGCCCTCCTCCAGAGACCTCTCTATTCTAGTGACACTGCCGGGAGACGTGGGTTGCGGTTGAGGTCTGCAAGCACACTTGGACAGATGTCTTGGGCCGTCTCTACCCACCTCGGGGTGCCCCAGTGGCAGGCACTGAGCACGGCGAGGAGCGCGTGGGGCAGGGCGCTGAGCACCAGCTGGGTGAAGCAGTGGCCTGTGGTGTCCCCCTCCCACAGCGGGAGCGGCCACGCAGCGCTGGTGCCGCACAGCTGGGCCAGGAGCCGCTCCATGGACACCACACCTGAGGGGAAAGGCGAGCGAGAAACGGGTGGAGGGCGTCAGCCGGGTCTCCCCGCCTCTAACCCCGCCCTCGAGCCGGGACCTCCCCTCACCTCCGCCCCAAAGTCAGGTCCCGCCCATTCTCGCGGTGTCTCCAAGACTAGGAAGGAAGAGGTTTCGCCCCCGAGAGCTGTTACCCACCCTAAGATCTCTTTTCCTTCCCATTTCCCCGCCCTCAGGAATCCGGAACCTCAAACCTGAAGAAACTGCTTTGCACCGGATTCCAAAATCCCGAGTATTGGTGTACGCAAAAGAACGTGCTGCCGGGCCGGGGTTCTGCACCAGCCTTGGCTAGCGCCCTCTAGAGGCTGGAAGACCTAGCAGGCGCTTTTCGTCCCGCCCCTACGCAGGGCTGCTGCGCATGTGCATACAGCTCTCGGATTCTGATGGCCTTTGTACGCGGTGGAACTGCTGCCTTCGCACCCTTGTGTTTGCACACGCTTGTGTCGCCTCGCTTGCAACGTTATTTATGCCCTTTCAAGTGGAGTAGTCACTCCCATCTAGTATGCTTATTAGCTGGCACACGTATTGCACTCTCCAGTTCTTAAAGTTTACAGAACTGGGGAGCCGGCTGTGGTGGTGTGCACTTGTAGTCTCAGTAACTCGGGAGGCAGAGGTGGGAGGATCGCTGGAGGCCAGTAGTTTGAGAACATCCTGGGCAACATAGCGAGACCTCATCTCAAAAAAAAAAAATTAGCCAATGTGGTGGCATGTGCTACTCTGAGCGCCTGAGCCCAGGAAGTTGAGGCTGTGGTGAGCTGTGATCCTGTCACTTCAGCCCAGCCTGCGTGTCAAAGTGAGACCTCAACTCAAAAATAATAAATGGTACACATAAACCACTTTCTATGCTCATCTATAAGAAGCAACTCAAGTTTAATTATGAGATTGCAGCAATTCAGTCACATCTTTAGGCTCCACTTCTAATTCTAGTTTTCTTGCTATGTCCACCACATCTGAAGTTACTTCCTCCACTTTAGTCTTGAACTCTTCAAAGCCATCTATGAGGGTTGGAATCGACTTCTTCCAATTTCCTGTTTTGTTTTGTTTGTTTTGTTGTTTTTGAGTCAGGGTCTCACTCAGTTGCCCAGGCTGTAGTACAGTGGCACAATCACAGCTCACTGCAGTCTCGGCCTCCTGGGCTCAGCAGATCCTGTCTCCTCAGCCTCCCAAGTAGCTGGGATTACAGGTGCCACCACACCTGGCTAATTAAAAAAAAAAATTTTTTTTTTTGGTAGAGATGAGGTCTTGCTATGTTGCCTAGGGTGGTCTTGAACTCATGGGCTCAAGAAATTCTTTTGCCTCAGCCTCCCAAAGGTGTGAGCCACTGTGCCTGACCCCAAACTCCTGTTAATGTTGACATTTTGACCTCTTCCCATGATTGCAAATGTTTTTAGTGGCATCTAGAATGGTGAATCCTTTCCAGAAAGTTTTTAATTTTTAAAGTTTTTGCTTTGGTAGAGGATCACTATCTATGGCAGCTGCAGCCTTACTAATTTTTTTTTTTTTATGCCTGCGCAGACACCCACAAAATGTATTTCTTAAATAGTAAAACTTGAAAGTTGAAATTACTCCTTTACCTATGGGCTGCAGAATGGATGTGTGTTACCAGGCATGAAAACAACATTGATCTTGTACATCTCTATCTGAGCTCTTGGTGACCAGGAACATTGTCAATGAGCAGTAACATTTTGAAAGGAATCTTTTTTTCTGAACAGTACTCAACAGTGGGCTGAAAATATTCAGTAAACTGTGCTGTAAACAGATATGCTGTTATCCAGGCTGTGTTGCTCCATTTAAAGAGCACAGGCAGAATAGATTTTGCTTAATTCTTTTTTTTTTTTTTTTT